AAGGACTCAGTGTCAAATTCACTAAGGGTGAATGTGTTGTCACCAATGAAGAAGATGAGGAAGTCATGAGGGGAACTAGAGCTAAGAATAAGTGTTACTTATGGGAGCCTGAACGTAACTTCAATATTTGCACCATGACCAAAGAAGAAAAGGAGGATCAACTGTGGCTTAAAAAAGGTAGACATCTTCAAAAGAAAAAAAAATATCCAAGGAAGTAGTAAGAGGAACTCCAAAGTTAACCCCAGGTGAAAGAACAGGCTGTGGTAAATGTCAGGTTGGTAGGCAAGCCAAGATAGCACATCCAAAGAATGGACATCATAAAAATCTAGATCTGTTATACTGGAATTTGATGGAGTCCATGAAAGATGACCAGCATAAAGGGAGCAATGTCACTCAGGATGTCATGAAATTATATTTTGACAATCTTAGTACCATCAATATGAACCCAATTCAGCCTAATGGAGCCATGTATAGTGATAACAGACATTACTCTAGAGAAGATCGTGTGGAGCTTGAGAACTCTGGCCTACAAAGTGCTGACATTTTTACAAGAGATCTCGAGACTACTCAAATTGAATATTTAAAAAGCAAGTTGGGAATGTGTCTTTATAAGGAATTATAACAATTAATGATGATTGAGAATTGTATTTTGAAAATTAATCATTTGCTGATTGGTCAAAATATTGAGTTCCCTCCTCTTTTGCAATCATAACCCTCTAGCCTCTACACACTATACGCTTGCTTCACTTGGTGCCCATACCAATTCTTCATCTTCCATACCTCCTTCAAAAACCACAGAAAACCTTCTCTCTCACGGCCAAAGTCTCCTAAAATGTCTCAACAACCTATCCCTTCCAAAAAGGTGACCATCGTCGCTGATTCAGATTCTGGTACTAGAACTGATTCTAACAACCCTAACCAGATTCTTGAGGTAGCACCCCTGCGGATGCTAACCCCAGAAGGTCTGATTGTGAATAAACCACGGACTTCACATGCAAGAAGACCTAAAGAACTAGTCACAAGTCAGGCTCCTGACTCTTCAACCTCCATCTCTCATGAGGACACCAATAGTGAAGGCTCTAGGCATGCACACAACACAATTGCAAAATTGGTATCTAGGATATTGAATGAGCCACATGATATGCCAGGGATATCCATCCCTCTTAACACAGAGATTCTGCTCTTCATCTGGATCAACAAACTGATGTTACTCAAGATGTTGAAACCTTGGAAACGACTTCACAAAAGAATGATGATAAGTGTCAAACTTCTGAAAGTAATGATGTTAATATGCAAGGTGATAACAATGATGATAATGAGGTCCAGAAGGATAATGCTGATGTAGTGAACCTTGATGATTATTCAGATAATGATCTGATATCCACGATCAACCCTAACATAGCCAAAAGGCTCATGACTAGGAAAGGGAAGAAGGCAGCTGTGCAGAGTCCTCCTAAGAAGAAAGCTGTAACAAAGAGTACTCATGTTGGCCCTACCAAAGCTTGGAGTAAGGTGGTTCCAAAGAAGAGAAAGGCTCAAACAAGTACTGAATCTGACTCTGACTCAGATGTTGCTTGTGATGTCACTGACATCCCACCAAAGAAGAAACCAACAACTAGCAAACTTTCTGTTAGTGTTCCTGATGTTCCTATTGACAATATCTCATTTCATTATCCCTCAAGTGTCATAAGGTGGAAATATGTGTATCAAAAGAGGTTGGCATTGGAGAGAGAGCTGGCTCAGAATGCCCTAGAAAGTAAGGAGATCATAAATCTAATCCAAGATGCTGGTTTAATGAGGACTGTCACTCAGTTTTCTCAGTGCTATGAAATACTTGTTAAGGAGTTCATAGTGAACCTATCATAGGAATGTTTTGATAGAAAATCAAATGAGTGTGGCAAAGTGTATGTAAGAGGAAAATGTGTCACTTTCTCCTCAACGGTCATCAATAACTATCTAGGAAGATCAGATGGAGCACAACCTGATCAAGATGCTTCTGACAACAAAGTATGTCAAGTTATTACTGCCAACCAGGTCAAAAGATGACCCTTAAAAGGAAAGCTGGTTGCCAGTAAACTGAGTGTGAGGTATGCTATGCTGCATAAGATTGGTGCTGCCAACTGGGTGCCCACAAATCATAAATCAATTGTTGCAACTATCCTGGGGAAGTTCATTTATGCTGTTGGGACCAAAACAAAATTTGATTATGGGACCTACATCTTTGATCAGACCATGAAGCATGCAGGCGGTTATAGTGTAAAAGGCCCCATTGCATTTCCATCTCTTATCTGTGAGATCATATTGAATCAGTATCCCAATATCCTAAAAGAGAATGACTCTGCATGCAAGAGAGAGCCCCTTGTCTTTCCACCACAAGCTGTTTCAAGGAACTCATGTTCCTGACATTGTCATGACATTTGCAGAGACATCCAAAGGGAGTTCAAAGACACAAAAAGTTGAGGTTATTGCCATGCTCAAAGAAACATTCAAGGAGTTGGAGACAAGGAAGCAAAATCTTGAAAAGTTGTTCAGGTCTCTTGAGCAAGATGAAGATACTGAGTTTACTGATAATAATGAGGATAAGCATGATGATGGTTCTGGGGAGGATGATAACCAGGAAGCTGAATCAGAAGAAGCTGATGCCAGTTATGAGGAAGACACTGATGAAGAAAGAGAAAGTGATGATGCTGGCTCTGAGTTTGATGACTAGAGTTCTTAGTCTGTTTGCTACAAAAACAAATTATTTTTGTGAATAACTTTTATGTTTTGATGTGTTGTAATAACCCTTTAACATTTGTGTTTCCAACCTATTTGATCAATACTAAGTCTTTAGTTATGATCTAATTTTGTGGCTAAAAATAGGGAGAAGTAGTTGAACAACAGGCTTAGATGTGGTATCATAAGTAGTTGAACAAAAGGCTTAGACGTGTTTAGTTGATGTCCCTCACAGGTGGAAGATGAGCTTTGCTGTTGTGCATGTTTGCACTGAGCAGGTGTGTTGATGTTTTGCTGATACTTTGAGTTGTGTTACAGGTGTGCTGAAGTTGATCTGTAGTTGTGAGCAGGATGATGATCCTGTGTGTGTTTTGCTGTTGAGAGTGTGTGTTCCTTGATGGAACCTAGTAGTATTCTAGCTGTTAGTAGTATGTGTGACTGCAGGTTGTGCAGGTTGTGATTGGCTGTGCATTAGTTGAGGGGGAGTATCACATGATGTTCCACAAAATGTTGTGACATCTATAGTTTAGACTAGCAAATGATATGTTTGTGCTGTGGAACATGTGTCTTTTCAGGATGTCTCCCTAGATGTTTTTACATCCATAATCCAGAACATAATGGATGAGTGTGTGTGAACAGGTTGATTCTGATTGGCTAACTATTAACAGGAAGCTGATATTGTTAGGTTGTGTAGATGACTCTGATATGGTAATGCAACATGTGTGTATTGGTTGGTAGTTTTAGCTAGTAGTTATCCTGCTTGATTATATATGTGAATTTTTTCTGCTGCTTGATCTCTGATATGATGACAGAGTGTTTTAGCCAAAAATTTGCCAAAGGGGGAATTTGTAGATGTTTTTGATTGGCTGCATTTTATGGTAAAACATTACTGTGTGTGTAGATGTCATGATTGATGTCATGACATGCTTGTGTAGTGTTCTGCAGGGTAAGTTTGGTCATCTAGAACAAAGCGTATTGGATGTCATACTGAATGTTTTGACATCAGGTAGCTGACATCAAGGGCGCGTGTTTTGGTTTTATGGTATAATTCATGAGTTAGCTCAGGCTAGAATTTAGGAAACATTTTAGGGAGCTCAGTTATCTCAGGCGAAATGCCAGGCAGTGCTGAGTATATCACGAAATGCCTATGACCTAATTGAAGAAACGCTGATTTATGAAAAGAGGTTTACCTTGGTTAAACCTAATTTATGCACTGAGGCCCAAGGTCCGTGTGCTGCATATAAATAGAAGTGAGGCAATCCTGATTGGATACTTAGAGATTTTAGAGAGTTTGTGAGTGAAGAAGTCTGGTTGTATCAACTGTTCTTCACGTGTGTTTTGTGTCTTAGGATTACTTGTGAGTCAAGCAATCATTACCTAGATGATTGCATTGGACTAATATTTTTGAGTTGTATGTTGATTGTGTCACTCTAAGCTTTTAAGCACGAGGGTTGTGTCTCTTGATTGAAGCTGTGAAGCAAGATCAAGATTTGTTTGAAGCGTGTCTTCATTTTTATCTATAACTTAATTGGATGTTATCACTGCTGTGATTGAGAGGGGGGGGGGGTGAGTAGGAACTCAGGTCTAGTGTTAGGTTGAAGTTGTATTGGGTAGGTTTTAAGTGAAGGGTGCAAACTGGTTGTTTGACTCTGAATTAACACTGCTAATAGTGGATTTCCTCCCTGGCTTGGTAGCCCCCAGAGTGTGTGTGATTTACACCGAACTGGGTCAGCAATTCCCTGTGTTATTTACTGTTTTCATTTCCAGTTCATTGTTAAGTTTTAGTGTCTATTTAGTAGTGGATGTCATAACATCTGTTATAACATCAACTGGTTGGTACCTAGAATTTCATGTCTAAAGCGTATGATAAAATTAACTGGGAATTCATATGGAGAGTTCTAAAGGAAATCCAACTTCTAGACAACATAATTAATATTGTTATGCATGTTATAACAAACGTTGAAACAAATGTGAAGTGGAATGGAGCTAGGAGTGATTACTTTAGACTTCAAATGGGTATCAGACAAAGGGATCCAATCTCACCTTATCTCTTTGTTTTGGGCATGGAGAAGCTTTCTTACCTTATCATCGAGGTTGTGAATGCTAAAAAGTGGAAAGCTTTGTGTATGGGTAAGGAGGGCTCGTAGCTGTCACACTTTATGTTTGCGGATGATTTACCACTCATAGGAGAAGCTAAGGAATCTCAAATGGATTATGTGATGAATATTCTTAGCAATTTTACGAACATGTCAGGATAGGAAGTTAACAAAGAGAAGACATGTATCATGTTTTCTAAAAGAGTCAGTAGAGGGCTAAGAACCAAGATCCTGCGCATAGCCGATTTTCGTGAAACTCATGACGTAGGGAAATATCTTGAAGTAACTTTAAATGGTAAGGGTCTTAGAAGAAAGGATTATCAATACCTAATGGAGCAGTTATGTTTAAAACTCTCCAACTGGAAAACTAGTAACCTTTCTTTTACATGCCAATTAACAATTACGAAGAGTGTGATGCAGGCAGTTCCAATCTACCCGATGATGACATATATTCTTCCTAAAGGTTGTTTAAATGAGATTCAACATATTCAAAGTAATTTTCTTTGGGGAGACACAATGGAGAAGATGAAGTATCATGATGTTAGCTGGGATATGGTAACCAACCACAAAGATGAGGGTGGTCTTGGACTAAGAAAATTGGAGCAAATGAACAAAGTATGTTTCTCAAAACTGGCTTGAAAGCTTAATAACAAGGGAGAAGAACTATGGTGCAAGGTGTTAAAAGGAAAGTATAAAGTAGTCAACAAGAAAGACTTTAGAAACATAAGTGGTGCATCAAAATTATGGAGAGATATTGTCAGGTTAGTGAATCAAATGCAAGCACATGGTAGCTGATGCATTGGTAATGGATCGACAACTGAAGCTTGGTTTGATAGATGGATTGACTCAGAAAGTAACATTCATGATCTTGGTGTAGTGATTCCCAGGGAGTTGGAACACGCGAAAGTTAGGGACCTTGTGAACTGTGCAGGTGAGTGGGATTGGCGAAAACTAGATCATTAATTGTTGGAGATAATTATGTATAAAATAAAAGTTATTCCTCTGCCTAGGTCTGGTTATGGGGAAGACTGGTTTCTCTTTACAGGTATTAATCTAGAAAGATTTTCTATGAAGTACGTGTACAAAAAGATTGTTCAGTATGAAAATCCCAATATAACTATGTAGTGGAGGGAAATTTGATGCTTGAAAGTTCATGATAGAGTTATATGCTTTTTATGGTTACTTGGTCATGGTAGACTACTAACCAACTACATTAAGAGCATGTGAAGCCCAGGTGGTGCAGATTGCAAGTTGTATGGTGGAGTGAAAGAAACAACTACGTATGCTCTTAGGATTGCCATAGAGCCATGTAGCTTTGGGTGCATATGGTTTCTGATAAATTCAAACTGGATTTCTTCTCTATGAATCTAGATGCATGGACAAATTTAAACATTAATGATAGTAGCAATTGGGCAGTTGGGTGCCATAGCCTTTGGACTTGAAGAAATAAGGAGATGCACAGTGGAAACTATAATAAACCCCATTTTTCGGACATTCATGTGCAACACAGGATAGAGGAATACGAGGTTGCAATGAAAATCAAAGTGATAATCAATAGCATCGAGAAATCAATCATCATGATTGTTTGGAAGCCAAACAAGGATAGAGTGAAACTTAATACAGGTGGAGCTTGCTTTGAAGGAAGGTTATCTAGAGCAGAGGTATCATTAAAGACATGAACAGAGAGTGCAATGGTAGGTTTTATAAATCCAAAGGTAATTTTAGTGTTGTTAAAGCAGAGTTATGGGGAATCTATGAAGGATTATCGCATACTAAGGACCTAGGCTTTTCAAAAGTGGTGTTGAATGTGGACTCAATGGTAGCCATCAAAATTATCAATGTACGTAGGCCTGATCTTCGATATGGGTGCATATTCATTAGTTAAACGAATCATGTGCCTCATGACGATGTTCAAAGAAGTGAAGGTGGAACACACTTACAGGGAAGAAAATTTATGTGCGTATGCTATAGGTAAAACAGGTGCAAAAAGCGAAGATGGTTTTGTTTTTGGAGAAGAAATCCCTTATTCTGCATTTGGCTTGGTTGTAGTTTTTTTTCCTTTGGAGTTTATCCCTCTATCTCACCCAAAAAAATACATTTAATTCAATAAGAGAATTTCTTATGGCACCCTAGATGTTTCTAATGCACCATGTGAATTTCCACAAATGCCCCTTGATTTCGGAGATGCATCTCCGGACACACCCCAACACATACTCAACAAAGGTCATTCTAAGTTACACCCTTTTTATGATTTAATTTATTCCAGAGATGCATCTCCGAAATATTTTCGTAGTTACATATCTGAAGGCACACCAGTATCAGATTCAACAAAAAAAGTAATTTTCCAAAATGAAATTGACAATAAGCATTACAATGATGATTTTAACATAAAATTCAATATTAAAATTCAATATCTCGATGAACGCTTGCACATCTTAAGAATCTTTGACCGATCTTTATAGCATTACTTCCAACTTGAGCGGAACTTTTTTTTCGAAACGGAAATACGTATTCCACATGACCCTAACATCCGCTTGCATCTTGAGCTCAAAATTTCCAAACTCAATGTTCCCTACATTGTCAATTTGTGGTGAATGATACTCGAACTTCACAATTTTCTCTATAAGGTAGGAGATGGTAGATTTCATCTTTGATATCTTCAAGGAAAGTGAAGTCAGTGAGCTTGAACATTCAGGCGGGTGTAAAGCCGAAGAAAGACACATATGTGACATACTAATAGATGTTTATTTGTTACATTTGATTCTTTTTCAATGTTATTCAATCTCTCGAATTCTTGCATCCTTTCCATAAAATGATCCGACCAAGTCTCAACTTTTGTGGTTGAATGAGTTGTCCACTCCGGTAATGCAAGTGGTACAGGACATCCCGGTTTCAAGTAAACTTGAACAAAATGACTTGAATTTTAAAGCCACACAATACACATCATTTGATCATTTGGATTTTGGGGTGGTTTGGTGCGCAGTGGGAAAAAGGTTTATGAAAACTGTAGCATGTCAGGTCAACAGACACTCTATCATACACACATGTTATCATGTGATCCATTTCAGGAAAGCGCATCCATTTTACCGCCGGTGCCAGCCCACTCAAACAAGGAACAAGAGACTCATAAACCACATCGAAATTGTCTTTCTTTCTGTACAACCACGTGTATGATTTTTTATGTGTCTTCAACTCTTGGATAAGTTGTTGTCGGACAAGTGTATGACCATCTTCTACTTTACCGAGTAAATCTAAAATGGCTCGGTGCCGCAATTATCGCCCCCCACAACATTGACAACCCGCTCGATATATTTGTGCATAAAAACCGACATCTCGTCAATGAATGGAATGTTAAGTGAAAGCAACTTCAAAGGTGGTTTGCTAATGCGAGATCCTTTTAGAACACGTTTTTGAGATTTTGGAGTTGGTGAGTTAGGAAATGTCAACGTGTTCAAAATATGAAAGAGACAGTGTAGTTGAGTTGTCATTCGATGTAGGCTTCATTTTCTTTGGAGCAACTTGTGTTTTAATCGGTTGAGAATGCGGTTTCATGTCGGTGGTTTCTGGATAGACAATGTTCTTCAATTGTTTTTTGATGTGGAGTTTCATGTTATCATCAACCTTCAAAATTCTCTCTGGTATCACTTCCCATTCAGTCAAAATAAAGGTATTCGATTTACTGTCATCCATGTATCCATCATCATCAAACCTAAGTCTTTTCTAATGAGTGCAAACCTCATCCATTTTTATTGGTTCACCAAGTTTCATTCTTTTAGCAATAACATAAGCACATGGGAGACCATATGTTTTCACAATTGTGCATCCATATTATGCGCTACCGAAGCCTACATTATCAGCTATTTTAGCCTCATAAAAAATATAGTTCAAGCCCGCCCGATAAATGTTACTACCCAATTGAGAACATAGAGTGTTGTCTTTAAATTTGTGTTGTAAAACTGTGATACTCCGACCAAATGTTGTTTGTATCTCATTATGCTAGTTTTGAATCATTTAGTTCACAGAGTCGCAGTCTCTACCCAAATCCCCCTTATAATTTCCCAACCAATTTTTGAAAGTAGCATGAGTCAACTCAACTCTGTTAGTTGTTGTATTTCCAGGGTGTCTAACATTATTAGCCCACGCACAAACTATCTTCTCATTCACCTGGTCAAGAATTGTGCTTTTAACATATTTCAACAAATCTCGTTACTTTTCACACACTTTTCTGAAATGAATAACGGAATTGGCATATAGTTTTTTTTGTTGAAGAATTTATTATACAACTCCATGCATCAATTATTTTTTTCACTCGCCTCCACCAATTTTCCATCTTCAGACTCTATCTGGTCGTCCCTACCATGGGTTTAACCTGACTTCTCACATTCTTTGTTATGTGATACCTACAAAGTAATGCACAAGAAGAAGGAAATACCTTTGCAACTGAATACATCAATGTGGTATCGCGATCGGTAACAATCGTTTTAGGCATCTCACCTTGGACCTTCAATAGTGACTGACACACCTCTAATACCCAAGTAAAATTGTTCTCATTTTCATACTCAAGAAATGAAAAATCAACAGAATATATTTTCTCAGTCGAGGTAACACCAACCATCTCAAATAATGGAAGTCGATACTTATTGGTCTTGTAGGTTAAATCAAGTATGATCACCATACGAAACGTGTTGAACAACTTTATGAAATCAGGATGACTCCAAAAAATATATCTAATAGTAACTCCATCATCGCACGTTCGGTACCTGGACGCGTAACAATTATCATCCAACAGTTTCAAGAGTTGTTGCATCTCAGTTCTATCCCCCTAAGTGCCTTGTTAGTGAGGTACCAAATGTTATACGTTTGCTTGATATTTTATATATTATTAGGTCATTTTCATTTCAATGTTGCAAGTATATTTTTCAGTTAAACAAGATTCAAGATCATGTCAGCAATACATGTAAGAGCACAGATTGTGTCTTAGTAATATCTCTATGTTTTGATGATAACATTAATGATAATTTGTATACAAGAATTATACTCTCTAAATTTGTTCTAAACTGTTTTCTACAGGCACAAAAGATTTTAATCTTAAAGAGCAAATTTGATGTGAACAATAAATTCTGAATGGCTCAAGAGCATCTGAAGATTAGAAGAATCTGAAGTATAAGAGCTTAGTCATCAAGATTCTGAAGATACAACACGCTGCATATATTATCAAGAATCTGATTGAAAGAAGACTCTGAGTGAAGAGACTCTGAATGAGAGAAGACTCTGATCTGAGTGAAGACTCTGATCTAAGAGCATGTTACGCTTCAAGCACACAGCTGCACCAGACTCTGATTCAGCAACATCTGAAGAACATCTTAGGCTCTGAAGTTTCCAGAAGATTCTGAAGACTGAAGACTCTGATATTGATTGTTGATCTGAACTATCTGAAGAACTATTTGAAGAAGATTATTTTAATATATCCGTTGGAATATGCCAGCAAATCTTTCCTTAATTGGGATAGACATAAATCTCTGCAAGAAGATTATTCCTCTGATACATTCCATATATGGCAAATTCACAGCTCAGCAGACAATTGCTACACCCACATTTTGTGCGCCGTCTCTCTGCTGCAATAGTACAAAGGACAGTAC